CACAGCAAGGGCTACGCGTCTTTGCCACGTCCTTGCCGCTGTCTCGATTGTACAGCTGGGAGGGCATGGAGCAGACGATCCTTGCAAAGCCAACTCAACATCAACTACTATGTTCTAGAAGGGCACCCCTCCTCATCCTCCTCCTCCTCCACCTCCACCTCCACCTCCTCCTCCTCCTCCTCCTCCTCCTCCTCCTCCTCCTCCTCCTCCTGAACACTTCATCATCATCATCATCATCATCATCATCATCATCATCATCATCATCATCATCATCATCATCATCATCATCATCATTACCCTCCCCCTCAGACTGACATTCACGCGCAGTCTCGCGCTACCACTGCCGCTCCCAACTTCTGCCCCCCCCTCTCGGAGGCCACTCTGGTGCAGGGCTGCTCTGTCGGCCCCCCTTGTCGCGGATCCTGGCCTTCGTCCCCACCCCTCCGGGGCGGGCGGGGCAGGGCTACTGGCTCGTGGGCACCCTTCTTTGAGTGGCCCGGGCGGCCACTCGCTCCCCGTGCCTGGGGGCGGCGCGGCCGCTCCGCTCCGGGAGGGGCCGGGCTCGCTGAGTGAGACGGGCGCGACCGCCCCGCGGTGCGCGCATGGCTCGAGGCACACGAGCGCTGCCCCGCGCTCGAGGCTCGAGGCTCGCGGCCGAGGCTCGAGGCTCGCGGCTCGAGGCTCGAGGCTCGAGGCTGCCTCGCGCTTGGCTCGAGGCTCGGGGCTCGCGGCCGCCCAGCGCTGGCGCATGACTCCTGTGGCGCACGCTTATTCATCCCATTAATGATGTTATTCTGACTATCAATATTCTTAACACTATTATTATCAATATTACTAGGAACATTATTAGTGTCATTCATATCCATATGAGTATTACTATTATTAGTATTAGTATGACGTGTTGCGCCTATTCTCAAAAGTATAGCTTGTATTATTACCATGTGTGTTATTATCAGCTTCACATTATTGTTCAAATTATTATTATCTTTATCATGGTTAGTATTGGTATGATTCCTATTGTTATTCTCATGGGTACCATTATAATTAGCATTGCGATTATTATTAATAGTAGTAGCAGCAGTAGAACTTCTAACAATAGCAGTACAGTATGATTACTGGTAGTAATTGTGTCCATACTAATATTCTAACACTCGCCTTAATAGTATCATTCATAAGATCACTCTTCTTATTAATAATATTGGTATTGTTCGTTTGGTTCATATTCGTAGTATTGTTATTAGTAGAAGCATTATTGTGATGTTTCATAGTATCACACTTATTACTCTGGATAATTATATTATTGTATACTTATCATCCGTATGACTATTGTTCGTATTATTCGAACGCATCGTTGCGGTTGCCAGAAAGAAAATGCCTGGGAAACCTCTTTTGGTATCGGGTGGGGCCGCCGAGCCGCGCGGGGCGCATCGGGCAGCGGAGCTCGGAGGCACGCAACGCGTGGCGGCGCTGTCGGCCCGAGCTGCGCGCCGCGGCCGGGCAGGAGAAGCCGCCGTGAGCACGACGACGCGGAGGAGGAGGAGGAGGAGGCGGAGGAGGAGGCGGAGGCGGAGGAGGAGGCGGAGGCGGAGGAGGAGGCGGAGGAGGAGGCGGAGGCGGAGGAGGAGGACGAGGAGGAGGTGTTCAGGGCGCGGCGGAGGCGGCATTCGACACGCTGGTCGGCGCGCTGGGCCTGGCGGAGCGTTTTGAAACCGTCATGCGGGCATCTGCCGCTCTGGTGCGCGGCGCGGAGCCAAGCTGGCTCCAGCGCCCGCGCCACAGCACGGCTCTCAATGCCGAAGCTGACGGCGAGGGCACGCTGGACACTGCGAGCTCGGGCCGCCCACAAGGCAGGGTAGGGTTCAGCGTTCGACGTTGTTTGCGCGATGTGTTACGTAAGTCTTTGGTTTCAGCCGCGCGGTGGCCATGATTGCCATCGAACAGAGCGCCCTTTCTTCAAATTCTAAGACTCCGCGCGGGCCTGGCGGGCGGGGAGCCGCAGACTCATGAGCAGGGCGGTGGGATCCGCACCTGTAGATTCAATAATCTACCATGTTCCCGGTGTATGGCCGTAAATGCAGCTTTCGCTTCGGATCTCCTCAACACCGAGCGGTTTCTGGAGCGAGTTCCAAAGGTTTCTTTTATTCCCTACCTAGGCTCTGCCTAGAAGGGTTCTTACCGAGCAAGTTTAAGGGGCCGGGCAGTGCTCCCCGCCCCGGGCGGTTCCCCCAGGATCCGCCCCGCGGTTCCCCAGCTGCGTTCCCTTAGCTCAGCGTTGCTTATCTCATCTTCGCTTAGCTTACTTCATCTTAGCTTAGCTTAGCTTCATCTTAGCTCAGGTTTATCTTAGCTTAGCTTACCTTCATATTAGCTTCGCCGAGCGCTAGCATAGAAGAGCACAGCATAGCATAGCAGAGCGTAGCATAGCATGGCGCAGCACAACATATCATAGCATAGCCCAGCATAGCGCAGCATATCATAGCATAGCATATCATAGCGCAGCACAGCACAGCACAGCATAGCACCGCGCAGCATAGCATAGCATAGCATAGCATAGCAGAGCATGGCATAGCACAGCAGCCAAGCAAAGGCAAAGCAACAGCAGCGACAGCAAAGCAAAGCACAAGCAACACGAAGCAAAGCAAAGCAAAAGCAAAAGCAAAGCAAAGCAACAGCAGCGACAGCAAAGCAAAGCACAAGCAACGCAAAGCAAAGCAAAGCAAGCATGGGTGTAATTCCCTACCTCGGCTCTCCCTGGAGGGCTAGCTTAGCTTAGCTTAGCATAGCGCAGCGCTGCATTAGCATAGCATAGAATAGTATAACATAGCCAAACATAGCATAGCATAGCGCAGCATAGCATAGCATAGCGCAGCTTAGCATAGCATCACATAGCATAGCTTAGCATAGCACAGCGCAGCATGATATTGCATTGCTTAGCCGAGCATAGCATAGCATAGCATAGGTTAGTCGAGCATAGCATAGCATAGCATAGCATAGCATAGCATAGCATAGCATAGCACAGCATAGCATAGCATGGCATAGCATAGCATAGCATAGCAACTAGTGCTGCTTTCCTAGGGGCTCCAACTTCTAGGTAGGGTCGCACTGGGGTAATGTGTCCTACGGTGTCCGCGATTTCTGCCAAACATCCCTGGCGTTTCTCGATGCATCGAGCTCCAACGCAACGGTTTCGCCTGAGACATCCTCACCCACGCACTGCGTTCCCACAGGGAGTCGACAGGATCCTCCAGTGATCTGGGCTGACCACGACGCGCAGTATCGCCATTTGGACTGCCACGCCCGAATCCTTGTCAGCTACGACGACGCAGGCGTTACTGAGGCTCGCTCGGAAACGGTGACGTGCTCGGGCCAAAAAGGCGCCGGCTCGAGCCAATGACCGCGGGACCCAGCTCCCCGATGCTTTCCAATCCCGGCGGAGGCCAAAAAACCATCGGAACGCCCTCCTCTGTCTGCCAGGCGCGCCCAGAGAGGCAGGGGCACCGGGCGCAGGGCGGCGGGCCCGCGACGCAGGGCCTCGGCCGCTCCTGGCCTCGTGCGTCAGCGCAGTGCCGCAGTCGGTGTGCAGCGCGAGGTTCCTGGGGAAGGCCGTGCGGCTCGTGCCACAGCGCTCCGTGGCACGATCGTGGCTCTCCTCGGGCAGTCTCTCGGGTGGGTGTTCACGCCGTCGATGCTCGTCGGGTCGTTCCTGGCGGGATCTCTGCAAGCGCAGCTTCAGCCACCCACTCACCCACTCCAGCATGCACGGCCTCCACTCCTCCACCCTCGACACTGTGTGATAACGTTGGCGAGTTTGGGCCTCGCTGTCCTCGTGGCAGTGGGCGGAAGTTGGTCCCACGGGGTGTGGCTTCCGCCGTACCTCGAGCCGAAGGCCCTTGATGCTCGTCGGGCTGCTCGCCATGGCTCCAATATATCAGGCTACCTCTCGCGCCCAGCCAGGTGAGCCACATTCCAGAACCAGGCCAGGCAGCCGCGGGAGAGACCCGGAGATCCGACGCTGCGAAAAGAGTGCAACATCCCGACACACCATGATTGGACCGCTAGACCACACTTGTCTGCGGCCTTTTGTTGCGAGCCGCATGGTCTCGGCTACACGCAAGAGTGGCCCCAGGTAAGAGTGACCTTTGGTGCGCGACTTTCTGAGGGTCGCGGGCGGCCAAGCACAGGCGCGCAAGACGCCGCTGCCGGCTCGCGCTCGGCGATCGAGGAACCGCGGTGGACCCGCAACAGAGATCACTCCGGCGAAAGGTCACTCTTACCCGTCAGTCGGAAGAATCGGGCAAAAACATGCAGCAGGCAGGAAGGCTTTGGAAGTACATCGGGCTTCCGCCCGCCCCCCGAAGAGGAGGGAAGACGGACAGCCACTCGATCCTTGAAGCAGCATGGCGCCTCGAGTGTAGACTGGGATCTGGGAGGGAGCCCCACCCCAAACAAAAACCTGCTTTCAGCGACTGGCGTGCACGTCTAGTCGAGGATGGTCCTCAGGCCCGACACCGGGCGACAGCGCCGGTGGGTGGACAACAAGTGTCCACACCCATCGCGCCAAGATGATACGACATCGAACTGCGTCGAACAAATATCCAGAGCCCCCGTCCACCCCAACCCAAAGTTGACGGGGTTGGATGCGAGGCAGCGCGCGGGGGACAAAGCATGGACACTTCAACGTTGGGTTTGGGGGTGTGGGGGGGGGGGCGCGCCACATGTGTATTGCAGTTGTCGCTGCCATTCTGCCTGATTGTCTTCACGCCGTCGGCGTGGACACTTTTTGTCTGGGCCTCGGCCCAACGCGGAAGAGCTGCGAGCGCCGAGGAGGCGGAGGAGGAGGAGGAGGAGGCGGAGGAGGAGGCGGAGGAGGAGGAGGAGGCGGAGGAGGACGAGGAGGCGGAGGAGGAGGAGGAGGAGGCGGAGGAGGGGGAGGAGGAGGAGGAGGAGGGGGGGGCGCCACGGGCGCCGCTCGCGGCGACGACCCCCTCGCGGGCGCACGG